CGATTACCACCTCTTTTATCTATTCCATATTTCAAACATTATTTACATACTAGATATTTACTAGAAGGAGTATTGAAAATGTTAACCACGCCACTATAAAACCTCTCTGAAAATTATTAACTGCAGTGATTAAATCATACTTATAACGTAGGTTAATTAGTTTGAGTTGATTATAATATTGTCGGTTTAACTCTGAAACATAACAAATAATGTAACCTAGAAGTAGTTGTTTTTTTTTTACTAGTAAATTGCATCTAAATCCTCTCGCTACGAATTGGAACATCAAACATTTTAAAAACTTTTCAGGGATCATAGTAGATTGGTCGTAATTGATAGGCTAAATGGCAGGCTGAGGACGGACGGGGACGCATTATGCAGCCTCACGCCGGGATCGCGGGGATTGTTTCCTAAAACAGAACCAAGAGGCGACACCGTCTCTATTAAACGCGAATCACGTCTGCGTGCTTATATCATAATCACGATATTAATATAATAATTACCTATTTTTATTTTGATGTCCGAAAGTAGGAGAAAAAGAGGATATTTCATCTGCAATATCCTTTATTAACTATGTAGTTTTATACAGATAGACAAGGTTATAGTCTACATAAAGTCAAAATAAGTCCGTTGAATATTAATAGCATATCATTAATTCTATTATACGACAACAGTATCGAAAGTAAGTTGGATTAAGTTCCAATTTGAAAAATTACAACAATAAAAAAGCTATAAAAGAAATACTTATCATTTGGCCCAAATCACAGCGAGCATTTCTTTTTACTATCTCAAAAGAACCGACGTATTGTCCCCGAAGGCTCACATTTATCTACTCGATGTGACTTCGATGAAAACATTTGATAACATCTAATATGACGTCACGGCTATGTTAGATATCATTCGAAGTTACATGTTCCGATCAAATCCTTTATTTAACCCGATGTTAAAACATTTTTAGTAATGTATAATATATAAAATAAAGTCTTTTAGTTTTCATTAAATGAAATTCACATCGATACTAAATTACTTGCATGCAGAAATAACTAAAAACTTCCCTTATATAAACTTTTTAATTCCAGCAAAGTGTTAAACCCTGTTTCAACCGTACTGCTATTTTTTATATAATTATTTAAAATTAAAATTCAACTAGAAGTTCAGAAACAAAAACTAGATAAAAACAAAAATCTTTGAGGCATTCGGAAATTCACTGTAATGCACTTTATTTGCTCTATCTGTGTGAGAGTTTTTTAATTACTTTTTATTTAAATGTATTTTTTATATTGTCAATTTATTTTTGGCAGTCGATGGCTGCTTAAAGTAAGGTAGCTATTTCATTTTTTACATGCACCATCTGTTCGATGGCAGCGAGGGTAAATTACGGTTGTCACTCATTTATGCACAGATGCCAAAATATTTTAAGATTATAAAGGTGATATACTTTCTAAAAGTTATTTCATTGAGGAATTACTTTACGAAAATGTCACGCACATAAATTGTTCGTAGAATTTTTCACCTTAAGCTCCAATGTTACTTGAATAAGGGATCAATATCTATGAGTATGTAGAAAATACAATGTTCAAGTCAATACAATAATAATCTGCACAACTGAACTTTTCAACTCTTACGTGGTTGGATAATGAATAACTTAATTACTAGGTAGACATTAGTAAAAAAAATCTAGATTTGTTTGTTAATTTTATTTGATAAGTCTGCATAATTTATCGGGCGCGTGACCTAGAGGTCACAGTTGGCCGCCTGTAATATTTGTGTGACCCACACAGTTGTTTGTTCAGACTCTAGGTGCACTCTCTCTGTATGTCAATTCTATGTTTGCATCTACATTTTTATTTTAATGCGTTGTTGTTTGTTTAACTGCATTTTATTTAGCTACATTATTATTCAGTGTTCGAAAACCTTGCTCTAACAATGAAGACTTTGTTCCATTATTTTCCTAGTTAAATGTTTAAGAATTAAAATAATAAAGTGACGTTTCCTATCTATACATCAAAGTACGTCCTCCAAACAAAGTTTCTTAGTAATCATATTCTAAAATTTCTAAAAACAATGTAGTTAGGTTAAATTAAAATAATGAAGAATCCTGTGAAACAGAAACAAAAAGAAAATTTCACTTGTGCAATAGTTTTATTGTTTACTCACATTAAAAGAAAGATACAAACTCATCTCTTTACGGTTGTAGCCATGATAATGAAAGGCTAGAACATAATAAAACGTATACGAAAAAGTAGCGGGTCGCAGCAAGCGAGAGAGCGCTTTAGCGAGAGCCCCTCGCCGGCCGCCGCGCGCCGGGCGCCCGGCCGCGCCGCGTGTTGACACGGTCGCATCCAGATTAATTATTAACAAAATTGTATGAAGCCGTCAGTTAATGATAACGTTAACTAGAATTCATAATAAAGTGGGAGCAGCTGTATCCAGAGCACATCCGAGTTATGTCCCGCGCGAGACAGGCGCCTGATTAAAAATGCAGCTCTTCACAACGAGATGAAATCGGCAGAGGCGTCTCTCGCGCACGCTACGTTCAGTGTTGTTGTGGCGCTTGAGCGGGCAGGTCTTGCAGTGCGATGGCGCGCCGGCCGCTCAACAACTTGCGCCGGTAGTGACTTCATCAAATGAAAATTTAATTTATACTGAATTAGTGCTGAAGACTCGCCGCAGCGGAACGAAGTGGGAAGAATACATGAGTTAGTAACACTTTCTTATATTTACTTTACTTTTATTTTTCAATAACCTGTAACCAACTATATTTGTACTTTAG